GCAGACACATGTTCAAGATCTGGATTGTAGTGATGGCCTCACAGGTGTATACACATATTGAAATTCATGAAACTATGCACTTAATCTGTGCAGTATGCTATATGCAAAACTTCAGTAAAGCTTCAGAACAGAAAAGAAAACCAAAAAAAACAAACAAAAGATTTTACCTCATGACAAGTCAGGTTTATTTTGAGAATGCAAGGCTGATTTAATATTTGAAAATTAGTTCATGTAATTCATCATATCAACATAATAAAGGAGAAGAACTATATACTCAATAGGGGCAGAAGACAGAAATAATTAACCTTCAGAAAAATATCACAAGGAAACATGTCAGAATTTAAAGCCATAAGCTTGTAGGTTGAGCACATACTATAATGCACAATGAAAGAAAAAGCCTCACTATAAGGCTCACATTGTTAAATTTCAAATGAGAAGGGAAAACAGAGAACATACTAAATACACCTAAAGAGAACAGAAATCACAGTGGATTTGGGGCTTTTCCACAGCTACTGAAACCTAGAGAACAAGGCCTTCAGAATTCTGAGTGTAAGCAAGAATAATTATCTATCTATCAAGTACAACTCACTCAAGAATTTAACAGGTGAAAGACAGTTTATATATTCTAAAAAATGCATTCCTCTGTACACTTTTTTCAAGCACACACTGTCCCTCCCCCACCCCGACCCCATCAAAACAAGGTGCTATTCCCAGAAGGTAAAGAAATGTCCCCTAGAGAACAGGAGTAGAAAGAAGGAAGAATCCTCAGCATGAAAGTGAAAGAAATTCCCAGGTCAAGTTACGCGGAAGATTTAGTGTGCGACCACACCCATTTGTGGTAGAAAAATACTGAACTGACAGAATATCTGATTTTTCTTTTGTTGAGACAGGGTCTTGCTAGGTAGTCCAGGCTGGCCTCAAATTCAGGCTGATCCTCCTGCCTCAGCCTCTTAAATGCTGGGATTACAGGTCTTCACCACCACATCCAGCAGATTTAACCACGGTATTGTTTATAGTTTTTATTTTCTGTATATCGTGATGTTTTGACATTTTAAAAATCTTTCAGGTGAGGAGAGACACCTCCAGAGGGGAGCCAATTCTTAGGGACTGCGTGGGGGCTCAGCTGGGAGCCTCTGCTGGGCACACCCCTAGTGCAGAGCCTACTCCTCTGCCAGTGGCCATCCCAAGCGTAGGGACCAGGCAACTAGGGACCATCCATAGCTTGGCCCCTGCCAAAATTATGCAAACTATCTGATCCTGAACTTGTTACACGTTCCAAAGGACACTCCAATGAAGTGGTGGCCTAGACTCTCCCTGGCCCCTTCTGCCTCCTGGCTGACAGGCTTCCCTACATGGCCACACAGGGTATTGCCTTCTGTTTCTAGAACCTGGAAGGACAACTGACTCTACTTAACAGAGAAATCCTCTTTGGTAGATTTAATCCTCTACAGATCAAAATAATTTTTTAAAAATTGCATGTATACTATACATGTACAGACTTTTTTCTTATGCTATATTATTGTACAATATACAGTACAATATGTATATAACATTTACATTGTATAAGGTATTATAACTAACTTAAAGATAATTTAAAGAGTACAAGAAGATGTGCAGAGGTTATATGCAAAAACTACACCATTTTAAGAATAGGATTTGAGCATCCTTGGACTTTGGTATTGGCAAGGAGTCCTGGGATCAATCTCCCCTCCCCCAGGACACAAAGGGAGCCCTCATAATAAAATTTGCTCTCCTGACCCTCTTTTCTATCTCTCTTTGTGGCCACATCTGATTGACCAACATGTAAAAGAACACCGAGCAAGCATATTGTAAGCGTTATACTTCAGCCAGAATTTTGGGTTAAACCAATGATGAGTATATTGGATACAAAACAAAGAAAAAAACAAACAAACATATATGTATATATATGGTTGAATCCAGAACTCACACATGGTAAGCATGTACTCTACCACTGAGCTACCCCTAGTCTCCAAACTGCTAATTTTTAAGAATCAAAGAAGGGGCTTTGGGGAAGTGATTGGATCATGGGGGTGTGTTAGTCATCAGTGGATTCATCCACCAATCAGTTTATAGCTAAATTCGATGTTGGGAGTCCCTGGGGTGTGGCCTGGAAGGGTCTATCTGTCTCCCTCCTCCTTTGATCTCTCTTTATATGGGCTGAAACCTCTACAAGCTAGGAACCAAAATAAACCTTTCCTCTCTCAAGCTGTGGGTATCGGGTCTGTGTCTCAGTGAGAAGAAAATTACTAAGACAGTGGTGGTGAACCTAGGGCACATGTGCCGCAGTGGGCTGTTATCACTGAAAGCTGTAAAAGGTTTGCCATCACTGAAAGCTGAATAGCAATATAAATATGCTATCAGAAAATTAGAACTCTGTGCCCAAAACAAAAAAGTAAACAAACAGAAACAGCTGAAAGAAATAAAAATGGTCATCACTATAGAGCGAGGAAAGACAAACGCCAAGGGGCTCTGACTTAACATTATTTAAGAAGCATTCTTAGGTTTTGTTTAACTATATACATGTGTTACTTTGACTACAACAAAGCAAAAATGACTCTTCTTGCAGTAACAATTAAATGACATGTATATTACTTAGTTAAATTACTTAGTTATGGTCATAAGGACAAGCATGAACAGGTTGAGAAGGAGCAATGCCTCTTGCAATGTACCTCACATTGGCCAGGTGTGCACATCTGCATCCCTGGGGCACTCAGTTGGCTTGGTAGGTTTTAAAGAGGGAATTCAGAGCACTGGTTAACCTAGTGGTGAGTCGTTTAAGCTGAGGTCTATTAAAGAGTTTCTACTGTAATTAATCCAAATAACAAAGGAGGAGGAAATAGAAAAGCCTCCCTCCATCCACACTTGCTGCCCTGTCCTTCCCCAGGGGTTAGGTGGGAGATTGCCACAGAGTGCCACTCGAGAGCATCCCTCCCAGGGTCACTCGATTTGCCCTGAAATATCAGCCCTCTTGAGGGAAATCTGCAGATAAGGAAAATCAGTCCTCAGGAAGCACAGGCCATCTTATATATCCTTTGGCTTAATCCACAAAATGAGCCAGAAAGGTGGCCAATGAGATAACAAAGCAAAATCTACCTTTTGCAGCTTGATGGGCCTGATTTAACTTAGTAACTAGATTTATTCCATGATTGCCTCCTTCTCTGCATTTTGGGTGAGTCCTCAGCACCATACATACACTAGCTGCAAAAGAAAAGGAGCAAGCAAGAGCTCAAAACAGCTGCAGACACGGCTGCAGTGTCTGCTAAGTAAGTCTGTAGCAAACCTTAGTCTCCAAGTTGTCATCTTGCCTGCCTCAGTCAATGAACACTTGAGGTTCTGAGAATTTTGGATTTAGATTACCACAAAACTGAAGAAGCGTGTACAGCCACTTTTTCAACAAGTCAACCAAACACTGATCTCTTTGCTGTGCTATTTTGAGCAATAATCTGCAGATATACTGCCCAGTAAAATAAATGTGTTTCCTGTTCTTCTCTTACTTGTTCTCAATTCAGGAGCACCTAGGAAGGTGAGATCCACACCCCAACCCCATCACTTTGCTGCATCCTCAGCACTGTGCCAGCCCCTCCCAATACACAACTGTCAAATTTCCTTCAAAGCTAATCCTAGAAAACCAAATGTCCGAAGTTACTCTTTTTTGTTTGTTTTGTTTTTTGGTACCAGGGATCAAACTCAGGACCTTGACCTTGCCAGGCAGGCACGGTACCACTGTGCTACATCCCCAGCCCCCAGAAGTTACTATTTAATGTGGACAGTGCCATTAAATGATTTTACATTTTGCTATAGGCTGAATCTTTTATCCCCTAAAAATTCTTAGGTTGAAATCTCAACTTTCTAAGTGATAGCCTTGGAGTTGATTACGTCATGAAGACAGAGCCCTCAGGTATGGGATTCGTGCCTTGTAAAACTGGCTCAAGGGAGTTCATTCATCCTTCCTGCAGTGTGAAGACACAGCAAGAAGGTGCTGTCTATAAGCCAGGAATTGGGCCCTCTCCAGATTCTGAATTGCCTGGACTTGCTCTTGGACTTCTAGTCCCTGGAACTGTGGGAAATAAACATCCGTAGCCTCTAAATCACTCAGCCTAAGATACTCTGTTATACTGAGTAGGAGGACATCCATTCTATATGTAAAGTCAGCCAGGAGCGGCAGTCAGGACCTTCTAAAAGGTCATTCCCCTCAGTCTATGCAAATCTACTCCAAAGAAGTCTCTGTATCAGAAGCCCTTATGGACCACCTTAGGCTACTTTGTTCTTTGGCACCAGTATTCACAGACAGTGACTCTGGCCCAGACATGTAAATGTCTTCTTGGCTGATTCATAAAAAAATTTGGGCTGGAGATGTAGCTCAATTGTAGAGCTTTTGCCCAGTATGTACAAGGAAAAGGAAGGGAGGGAGGGAGGGAGGAAGGGAGGAAGGGATTCTTCCCCACTGCCAGGCCACAAGATCTGTCAGCACTTGTTCACAGCATTGTTTCTGGTGACACTGAACTGTTCATCAGCTGAGAAAAATCAGATTTAAAAAAAAACATCATTATTTGAACACAAAAGAATCCTGTGATAGTCACTCTCCTCCTCTTTTCACCAATCACCTTATTCAGCAGGTTATAGTGCATAAATCAACAGTAGAACTTATCTGCAGGCCTGGAGGTGTAGCTCACTGGTAGAGAGCATGTTCAGCATGTGCACAGCCCTGGGCTGAATCTGCAGCATGTGCACGCACACACACACACACAGTGAAGTTATCTGTACTTACACTTATTACACATAACCATCCCAGTCACTTTGGATACATCAGATGTCCCTGTTATCTCATTTTTTTAATCCCCATCCACAGCTCATCAGACCCATTGACAGCAATAATTTTTGACCCACTTCTGTGGAAGACTGTTGAGGTGCCAAATGTCTTTCTGAGTGGATTCCACATCTCCCCAAGCCCTGCTAAATGGGGGGCCCCAGAGAGATACCTCAGTGTCAGAGCCGTTGCCATTCAGAGCCTCGATGTTTGGGTCCCTCCAGTCTTCCGAGAGTGAAGGGATGTAGTTGTCTGTCAGTGCATCCCAAACCCTGTAAACAAAGAGATGCTCTCATTAGCTAACATCTGTGGCTGGGGCCCGCCTGGAGAAAGGAAGAGCCGAACTGGGCCCGCAGGAGAGAGGCTGTTGTGTTTGTCAGGCTGAGATCATCTGCCTTCCAGTATGCAGTCAGAGCAGCTGAAAAAGAGAGCTAGGGGCACAACCAGGGAGAAAGAGCAGGAGACCTGGGCCTGGCCACGGGCACCCATGGGAAAGGTGTTTGCTCCTCACCTTGGAAATTAATCTGCACCCCAGTTATTCTCAGAACCTGAGAAGTGCCTGTGCTCCTTTCCTGTGGGCAGGGAGAGTAAGCAAGACAGGGAAGGGAGGGGATCTGAACTGATTTTCTGTGTGACTCTCAGTGAGATCAAGGTTGTCATCTAGTTTTTATACATTCCCGTGTCAAGGCTCTGTAGTCTACACAATCAGGGATTAAATCCTTGATGGCTAATGTGGGAAAGGAATAATGCCAATGTTGTGACTGCTCCCTCATTACTCAAAATGTTCTTGGCAGCCCCCAGGGGGTGCAATCTTGCCCTCTAGTAATGTAGAGTCTACATGTGGCATGGCTCCTTCGTGGTAACTCTAGGGTAAACAAAAGAAAGGAACCCATAAACACACCTCTGGCTACATGGCTTGTTTTTAGTATGGGAGTATGAGGTTCCTTTCATTACATTTCTTTTTAGAATTCTGACAGTATACTGAGCCTCTCATGGTGGATCACACCTGTAATCACTGCACTCAGGAGGCTGAGGCAGGAGAATCATTGCAAGTTTGAGGCCAGCCTATACTACATAGTGAGTTCAAGGTCAGCCTGGAGTACATAGTGAGACCCTACCTCAGAAAAAAAAAAAGACAAAATAAAATTCTGACAGTACATTATAATAAACGGTGTGTGTGTGTGTGTGTGTGTGTGCGCGCGCGCGCGCACGTGTATGTATGTATGTATTTCTTAGCACTTGACTCTTATTTCAGAAAGATTTCTTTGGGGAAAAAAAGGAAGGTTGGGAAAAATTCTGAAGTCACAAACATTTACATATCAGGAAAACACAGAAATTAGTCAACACCAAGGGCTGGGGATTTAGCTCAGTGGTGCTGCACCTGCCTCACAAGCGCAAGGTCCTGAGTTCGATCCCTGGTACAGAAAATAAGATTTAATATACCTATTTCCACCTTGTTTCCAAAATGCAGAATTGTAACTTAAGTCTCCAAATATTCAGACTCCAGACTAGCAGAAAACAAAAAGTACATAAATTTTTTTAAAAAGTCAACACCAGGAGATTAATGGAAATCAGTAAACTAAGCTTCTAATGATGTGGAAAGCCAGAAGCATTTGCATTCAGATAGACTAGATGTGGTGATGTATGCTTGTAAACACAGCACTCTGGGAGGCTGAGACAGGAGAATCACATTCAAGCCCAGTCTGGGCAACTTAGTGATTTAGCAAGACTCTGTCTCAAAATACAAAATATTTCTTTCTCTTTTTTTTTGGTACCGGGGATCGAACTTGGGTCCTTGTGCTTGTGCAGCAGGTGGCAAAACCACTGAGCTAAATCCCCAGCCAAAATATTTCAAAAGGGCTGAGGATATAGCTCAGTGCAAAGGCCCTGGGTTTAATCCCCAGTATCCCAAAACAAATCAGATAATGATAAATGATGGCTCCATCCAATATCTCCTACAGATACGAGATACGAGTGCAAGCAAAACATGAGTAATATGTGTGAGACCAAGATATACTGTATTTAAATATACTAATCTAAGGGAATAGATAAATAAGCAAATATGTTTATGTAGGGATCAAGTTCATGTCGTAAGATGCTGAAAGATGGGGCAAAATAGATGTAGACATCAGAGCATCAACACTTGGAATCAGGTATATAACAATAATGCAAGACATGGGTACTTTTTTGTTTTGTTTTGTTTTTTGATTTTTGAGACAAGGTCTAGCTATGTAGCCCAGGCTCCCCTTGAACTCACTATGTAGCCTAGGCTGGCCTCGAACTCCCAGAAATCCTCCTGCGTCAGCCTCCACAGTGCTGATTATAGGTGTGCACTACCACACCCGGCTACTAACATAAAGTCAGGAATGTAGTATGACATATGGTTATAGAAGGAAAGATTTTCCCTATGCATCATGCATGCAACTGGAGACAAAACAAAAACAACCCAAGAAAACACAATTTGTTGGGAGTGCTTGAAGCATTTGCTTATTTGTTATTTTTCCCACAAGAAAGCACTTTGAGAGAACAAGTGCTCATGACAGAACTGCTCAGCAGGATGTCAGAGCCTACTTTGTAAACCATGGATGAGATGCCATTAGGCACAGTAAGAGCTGCTTCAATCCAGGTTAATTCTAAATTCAAGTCCCATTAGCACTCTGGAGCCAAGAGGTAAACATGATTTTCCATCTTCAAGGCACCACACCCACTGGAAAGGTCCTGGAGCTCCTCAACACCACTGCATTGCACTCTCTGCTTTGAGAACAAACACACATGCAGGAACTGACCTTCAGATGTGTCCCTGTAGGAAGTTCCTGGAGAAGACAGATTCAGCAAAGCCCAAAATAGGCAGGAGGAGTCTTTTGCACCTCCCCTACCCCAGACTGGCAGAAGCTGGGACCTTAATAGACCATCCACCCTCCAGTGACCTTGAGACTGCTATACCCTTGAGGTAGTAGCTGGGAACTCTCTCAGATCATTGAGGGAGTACCTGCTTTTCTCCTCTGAGCCTTCACTGACATGCTCTGAGTTTTATCTTCTAAGAATTCTAGGTTCTAGACAATTCCCTAAATCTTTATCTCCTTGGAATTTCAAACCACCCATCTTTCTCCTTTCTTTCTCATTTCTTCTTCTTTTTGGATACACTTTATATCCTTTGAAGTTTATAAATGACCTTTAAGGAAGGAAGTGACAAGAGAAAAATGAAAATGGAAAAATGAAGAGCTGAGGATTTAGCTCAATGATGCCTCCGCCTGCCTCACAAGCCAAGGTCCTGAGTTTGATCCCCAGTACCAAAAAAGATAAGAAGGAAAACTGGAAATAAAGCTTTTTTTTTTGTACCGGGGATTGAATTCAGGCCAAGCAGGCACAGTGTCACTGAGCTAAATCCCTGGCCTTGGAAACAAAGCTTTTGTACCTAGGGAGGGGAGGGGGCCTGGGGGGAAGGGATAAAATAAAATAAAAAATGACCTTGAAGCCAAGCCAATCACCTCTGCACAATCACTGCACACTCACTGTACCTTCTCAGTGCCCACTCAACACCCACAACACAGTCCACACTCACTGAGCACTTGCTATGAGACAAGTGCTGTCTAAGCTCTTCATGCTGGCTGATGTGTTCATTCTTCACCACAACTCTATAAAGCAGATACTGAAAGAGGAAAATTTAAAACACAGTGCGATTAATTGAGTTGTCTAAGGTCACACAGCCAGTAATGTCAGAGGTGGGATTTGAACCCAGGCATCATAGCAACACATCCCATATTTCTCACCACCTAACAACTCCGAATCTTTGTGATTTACTATATGACTGACACCGAATCAGAATAATATACCAAGTTCCAAATCACAACCTACAATAGCAGTCCAGACTCTGGCTCTGTGTGCAAACTCACACGAATATTATACGGACACTGACCTTTCATCAGTCTGCTCCAGGAGACCGGTAGGGTAATGGGTTCATGACAGCTTCCTGTCTGAGTATCCAGTGTCTGGGAAGCAAAGAGGGGACTCTGGCAGGCAGCCAGCCACAGGGACAGAGGAGCCAGCACCAGGAGGGGAAGATAAAGCTCTCTGTAAGGACAAGAACCAGAAGGGCTCGAATGTCATGGGGTGGACTGTAACATTTCACTTCTTGGAGCTGGGGGTTCAGCTCAGTGGTGAAGCACTTGCTAAAGATGTGCAAGGTCCTGAGTTTGATCTGTAGCACTGGAAAAAAAATTTAATTCCACTTCTCCAAGAAGCATTGTGCTATTATTTACTCTTACCTTAGAAAGAGAAGACTCTGAAAGCTATCCACACTATCAGTTATCAAAGATGATTAAACAATTCACCTCGGTACCTACCATTGTACTGCCATGACCCTGAGATTCTGTTAGCTGTCCTGGTCCCCATGATCACAGAAAAGGCTCTTCATGTTCAGATTTTACAGCTTGGCCTTAGGTACCTGTAAAATTGACTAAACTATGGTTTCCCACAGAAGGCTGGGCATTTTAAAAAGGATGCTGACAGGGATGAGCAAAACCAGCAGAAGGGGTTGTGCCAAGACAAGTGTATTCAAGGGGCTGCAGGGCCTGGGACCAGCAACATAGCCATCTGGGCTACATCTGTCATACCCTCACACATACCGATGCACCTACTTCTGACAACATGGTAGGCAGCTCAAGAGACTAATTAAAATTCCCACTCAGTAACATTTCACTTAATTCTCCCTCAGCCAACTTCCCTTGTCCAGGGTTTTGTTTGTGTCCAGTCATGCTAATACCCCACACTTAGATGTGTTAACATGAATTTGATTTTGCAATTCATATGTAGGAATTGGGAATCACTAGCACATAAATGCTTTTGCACAACTTTTAAATTTTTTTTTTTTTTGCGGAACAGGGGATCAAACTCAGGACCTTGCACTTGCCAGATGGCATCATTGAGATACATCCACGGCCCAACTTCTTAAATTCTTTCAAATGTTTGAATAAAATCAATACTACTTCTGCCTTCTATATGAGGAAAGTAAACTGCTAAGAAAAGTTATCAATCATTTTTTCCCCCTCTGACTATTAAATACAATATTTACTTGTCTTTGATTTAAACTGTATCTGATGATTGCTGGGTGTGGTGGCACACGCCTATAATCCCAGTACTTAGGAGGCTGAGGCAGGAGGATCTCTGCAAGTTCAAGGCCAGCCTGGGCTACATACTGAGGTCAAGGCCAGTCTGAACTACATAACTACATGTGAGCTACATAAGATCCTGTCTCAAAAAACAACAACAAAGTGTACCTTACTGATGGGAAGTTTATTAATTGTGTGGACTTTATATTTAACCCATCTTTAACCCAAGCCATTGTTCCCATGTGTGTGGCTCCTCTGTCTGCAGAGTACTTGTAACAATAGCGAGGGACTCCAGGGAGTTAGGAAGTGGGGTGAGCGCTGTCCCTTCCCATCTTGTAGTGGTTCTAGAGGTCCTCAATGCCAGGCCCCATCTCTTACAGCAAAAGGAAAGCATGCTCACACATTCACAAAGAGATTCTGAAATATTTTCTGAATTGAAAACCAGAAAATGTATACAACATTCAAATGTGACTCTTGTTTAAGGCCTAAAACTTCCATGCTCTGACAATGAAGAGGTAAACTGATATTGCAACTTATTGGCCATATAGTTCCAAAAGAGGATTAAAGAAATCAAAATTTAGCTAGGAATGGTGACATATACCTGTAATCCTAGCACTCAAGGCTAAAGCAGGAGGATTGCCACAAGTTCAGAACACTTTCAACTCATTTGTGAATGAAACAGTCTTCTAAATACCAAGCCTGATCAGGTTTAGCTCAGTAACACTAGGAGAGATTTGCAGCCAGGTTAGACACTACATCCTCCCTTGCTTTTTCTTAGTCACAACTTCACAGCTGAAAGGGCTGGACAGTGTCTGTAAACCAAGTGTATAGTGTAATTCTGATTTTTATTTTAAGTTGAAAAGAGTCTTTAAATGCACTGAATGCCTAGAAAGTACAGTGTCATTTTCTCTTTTCCTCCCTCTCCACTGTCCCCACATCACACTTTATCTCTAAGGAATTTTTACCCTTCGGCCTCAGCTGAGCAGTCAGTGAAGCAGTGAAGTCCGAAAGACCCATAATCCCGTGCGATGGTGATTAACATTGTGCAGCCTCTGCTAATGAGCTAGATGAGAGTACGAACCTGCTCACAGGACTTCACCGTTAATGAGGCAGAGGAAGGGCTTCGATAGGGCTAAAATGATTTGTTGCAATCAACAGAAATGGGACGCATCTTAAAATGTCATTTTCAGAGCACCTCCTGGGTGAGGGGAAAAAATGAAGCTCTTTGCAAGTCCGTAGCCCTGCTTCATCAAGGTTGAGCTCCAGAGGTTTCTAAGGTAAGGACCCACACAGCCAACTAGAGTCAAGTGACTTGCTCAAGGTCACACAGTGAGTTAGGGTGAATACAAAAATTAGAACTCACTTTCGTGTTTCTATTTCATTGCTTGATCCACTGGAATGAAAAAATACTCCATATAATAAAGCCCGAGAGCCATTATTTCCTGACTTATAGAAATTGAACAAATTATACCAGGCTCAGAATTTAAAAAGAATCAGTTGGAAATTTAAAATTGAATTGAAATGCACAGCCTGCTGATATAGCACTGGTCACCATTAATTAAAAAAAAAAGGTGGAAATGGTGTGGACCTAGAAATACATTACATAGACATACAATGCAAGCTATTACCACGCATTCAATATTCAGTGTTTCATTCAAAAATACTATTTACCTACTACACACCAAATGGGGATAGTAACAGTGAATAATATATATACCTCCTACTCCTAAAGGTGCAGGCTAAGTAGCAATCGAATAAGCAACTCTCTCCCAAATACAGTCAGGACCCTCTCTGCCTCTTGCCCCCTTACTTATGAGGGACTCTTCTCACTCATGTTCATAAAAAGAGAAACCAGGCTGGGGGTGTAGTTCAGTGAAAAAGCACTTGTCTAGCATGCACCAGGTCTTGGGTTCAATTCCCCAGCATGGCAAAAACAACAACAACAACAAAATACCCAACAAATTAAATTAAAAGAAAACAAAAAAAAGAAAACATACTTACTCCAAACTTCCAGGAGCAACTACTTGACATTTATTGTGTTTCCTAAAGAATTGGTGCAATCAGGCACAGGTGTTTAAATACCACATTGTTTCTCTGGTGTGAGAAACCGAAAGTACAAATAAGGACCAAAATGGATAAAATATATTGGAAAATGGAAAGGAAATGTTCAAATGAAAAAGGGAACAAAGGAAGGGGGGGGGAGAGAAAGGGACAAGAAAAAAATGGAAACAAAGCTTTTGTAAACGAGGAGAGAGGGATTAAAGGGAGGGGAAGGGGATGGGAGAAAAAGAAGCAAGATTTATCATGCACAAGTACAAATTCCCTATGATGATTGTGATTATTATGTACATCTAAAATGTACCAATGAAAAAAAAGAATTGGTACATATTGTACTCTCTATAAGGAACACATACATATTTTTCTAAATGCCTAAAACACCCTTAATATAACAGATTATCCCCTTCTCTTTCCAGTCCCTCCTTGAATAATACTTTTCTCCAATTCCTTTTCACTAACAGCTGTTAGGACTTCAGAAGGTAGCCAGTAGGTGACCCACAGAATCTGCATCCTCAAAAATGCTCTCTATTTATTTTGTTCCGGATAATTCCCTTCACTCCCGGTTCAGTTTGCTTTCTTATTTGTACATATGTAGTATTGTGGAAAATTTTCCAAGACTGCAGAATTATAAACAATTTTAAGATTTTCATAACTCTGGTGCTTCTTGAGGCAAATTGGTCCAATAACAGATTCCTCTATCACAGTTCATTGTTTTATGGTCTTTATTTCTAATATCTGAGTTGATTACCACTGATATTAAGAAAGCTGCTTTGGCATGGTGGCACACGCCTGTGATCCCAGCATTCAGGAGGCTGAGGCAAGAGGATTGCACATTCAAGGCCAGCTTGGCCTTCATAGCCTCTCTGACCTAGCGAAACTGTCTCAAAACAACAAAAGAAAAGTGGTGTGGCTGTAAATTTTTCTTTTTCTTTTTCTTTTTGGTGTTTATGTGCCAGAGTCTCACAGCGTAGCCCAGGCTGGCCTCAAACTTGTGGCAACCCTCCTGCCTCAGCCTCTTAAGTGCTGGGATTGCAGTGTGCACCACTATACCCAGGATGGCAAAATTTTGTTTCTAAAATTCTATTTTCTATCTAAGAAAACCTAAAATCCTCATTCCTCTAAGTTTCAAGCTAAAAAAGATTTCTCCAGGTATCTCCCTGTAAAGGGACATGCAGAGAAAAATGTCAGAAAAGACCTGAACATTGCCGCATGGGTAGCATAAAAATTAAACAAAGTGCCATGCAAATCCGTAGTAGCAACTAGCTCTAGGTCAAGGAGCCCAGGCTACAAGGCTCTCATGTGAAGCGGGAGAGGACAATTAAGACTTCTTACTCCTCGTCCTGAAGGGTCTCCTCCTCCTCCTGGATCTGTAATTGGTTCTTCACCGGTGCAAGGTTCTCGGTCTTGGCGTTGTAGTTCCGAAAGCAGACATTGAGCTTCTCGTCAAATTCATTCACGAGGTCCTCCATGGACTTGAAGCTGATTATTTCAGAAGAAAAATTCTCCAGCTCAGAGAGGGAGGGGTCCTCCAGATGGTGCGGAGATGAGCCATAGAAACAGTGGAGCTTCTCCTCCCGCTCCTCCGAGCAGCAGGGCCGAAGGTCCTCAAACTCTTCGTCCAGACTCACCAGCGGGGCCTCCATTCTTGTAGCAAAAAAGCAGCAACTTTCAGGATTCGTTTTCCTAGAAGAAATAAGCAAGGCAATGTGAGTTTGCCCTGGGCGTTTGTGCAGTTCTGCCAAGGAACCGTGATCACATATTCCATTATCTACAGCCCTCGGAAAACAAAGTTTCCACTTTCCTGGGGTCTGTTACCTCTGTACTCCTTCACTGCTGTGTGCAAAAGGAGTTCACATATCACTGAATATGTTCACTGTGTCCGTTAATAACTAGACCCCCAAGGGCCGGGGATTTAGCTCAGTGGTTCTGTCGCTTGCCTTGTAAGTGCAAGGAACCGAGTTCGATCCCTGCTACCAAAAAATAAATAAAAAATAAAAAAAAACCTAGACCCCGAGAGCTTTGGAGATACCCCTGATTCCAGTCACCTGCTCCACAAAACAAAGCACAGTGGTTACACATCCAGCTCCTGGGCCAGACTGCCCAGGTCTGCATCCTGTTCTGCCTCTACTGGCTGTGACTTTAGGCAAGTTCCTTAATTTCTCTATGCTTTCTTTTATTCTTCTCACGGCAGAAATAATAACAGGATATACCTAAAAGTGTTGTTATAAGATTAAAGGAGTAAACACGTGCACATGCGCACACACACACACACACACACCCCGTGCCTGGGAGATAATAAATACCAATATTGGGCTGGGAGTACAGTTCAGCCAAGCATGTGCAAAGCCCTGGGTTCAATTCCCAGCACAAAATAAATTAAGTAACTCCAGACCCAGGATGAAATGAAGAATATGTACTGTTACTGCCTTTCCCAATTTGCCAGACCCCAAGGGTTTTGGATAAGGGATTATAGACCTAGATATTATCCATTCATTATTTTTTAATTTTTTTGTTTGGGAGGAGGGTTGTTTGTTTTATATGCTATTAAGAGATTGAACCCAGGGCCTCTGCATTGAACTACATTCTCAGCCCTTTTTCTGTTTTTCTTGTTGTTTGTTTGTTTGGTACCAGGGATCGAACTCAGACCTTGTGCTTTCGAGGCAGGCAGTAGCACCACTGAGCTAAATCCCCAGCCCTTTCTGTTTTTCACTTTGACACAGGGTCTTGCCAATTTGCCCAGCCTGGGCTTGAACTTTCGATCTTCTTGGTTTAGCCTTCCAGACTGATGAGATTACAGGAAGGCACCCCTAACCCTGGCTATTTGGTTTTTGAGACACAGTCTCATGTAGTTCAGGTTGAATTTGAACTAGCTATACCCTAGGCTAGTTTCAAACTCCCAGTTCTCCAGCCTCAGCCTCCTGATTGCTGGGTATTTTTTGTTTGTTTGTTTGTATGGGGAGGGGAGGGGAGGACTTTGAGACAGGGTCTCAATATGTAGTTCAGGCTGGCCTTGAACTCACTATGTAGCCCAAGCTGGCCTCAAACTCACGGCGATCCTCCTGCCTCAGCCTCCCAAGTGATAGGATTACAGGCATGTGCCACCATGCCCAGCTTGAGTGCTAGGGAATACAGGTGTGTGCCACTAAGTCTGACTATTTATTTATTTTTAGCAGTGTTAAGAATTGAACCCAGGGCTTCACATATTCTAGCCAAGCCTTCCATCACTGAGGTACACCCCATTAATAAATAAGGCTCCCCTCATTAATAAATAATAGAAACTAATAAAGTATTAATAGAGATTTTCTATTGGAAGCTGGATGCAACAGTATGTGCCTACTATAGTCCTAGCCACTTAGGAGGCTAAAGCAAGAGAATCCCTTGAGCCTAGCTCCAGACCAGCCTGGGTAACATACCAAGAACCCATCAAAAAAAAAAAAAAGATAGTCATGGATGCTAGTACATGCCTGTAATCCCAGCACTCTGGGAAACTGAAGCAGGAGAATGACAAACTCTAGCACAGCCTAAGCAATTTAGCAACTTATCAAAGCCCTGTCTCAAAATAAAAACTAAAAAGAGGGCCAGGAATATAGTTCAATGAGAAGGACTTGAGTTTAACTGCCAGTATCATACATACACACACAAAAGACTTTCCGTCTATTACCCTATTGTTCAGTAAGAAACAGACTCAGCTACCCACTGGCTCCACACCAGGCCCCAGGCCCATCATGGGCACTGCACCCAGGGACACCACACACTCAGGCCTCCCTCTACTTCCCAAAAACTCCAGGGCCACCACCCCTCATGGGTCCTCTCTGTACACTGCCTGCAGCTGTGGCTTAGCCATCTCTGCTTACATGGAGTTCCCTGCTCAATTTGAATTTGAACTCCTTTGGGGCATAGACATCCTCCGATATTCTCCCTGGCTCCTAGCACATACAGGCTGCCTTGCAGCTAGGCAGTCAATCGATGTGCGCTAACTGAAAACTGATTCTCTGACCCCAACATACAGTTTCCCATCAGCATTACTGTCTATCATACCCTTCTCTCAACTTCCTTCCCTGTGACACTGAAAAACAACCCAACTTTTCCCTCCTAATGTGTATATAGCTGATCCAGTTAGATGCTTACATTGGAGCCACATCCTGAGGAGAATGAAAAAGACAGCAAAAACCCAGGGTTTGCCCTAGGAGGGCCTATTCCTCATGTCTATCTATAAAATCTAAACCAGTGGTGGCAAACCTGTGGCATGTGGGCTGTTCGGATCACTGAAAGTTCTAAAAGGTTTGCCATTCCTGATCTAAACCCTAAGCCAGGCTGAGAGTACACTAGGCAAGGACTGGTGGGACCATCCTTACTGGGATTTTGCTGAGATAAAGTCAGTTACTATTTCATCAGAACAGATTCTGAGTATTTAGTTTGCAAAGGCAACATGACAGGACCTTGGAATACAAAAAGATGCAAAAGCAGTACCATTTATTGGAAAGAACCCAGCTTTGAAAGCCAACAAACAGACTGGAATGTAGCTGAGTGGCAGAGTGCTTCCCTAGCATGGGTGAGACCCTGAGTTTAATCCCTAGCACTGACAAAAAAAAAAACCAAAACACCCAACAGACCTGTCAATGATTGGCTGCGTGGAAAGTCCTGATTTCCTCCTTTGTTATAATGAAGGTGTTCACATCGAATTAACTCTTTTAAAAGTTAACCTCAATAATTTTAATTTTAGCGGTACATTTTCATAACATGTTTACTTAATCCAATATACCCAAAATATTACCATTTCAATACCTCGTTTGTATTTAAATATTCATGAGATAATCTACATATTTAATTTTCTTTTCTTTTTTTAAACAGAAGTGGGGATTGAACTCAGGGCCTTTGCACTGAACTATATTCCTAGCCTATGTCTCACTAAACTGCCCAGGCTTGGCTCAAACTTGCCATCCTCCTGTCTCATCCTCCGAGTGCTGGGATTACAGGCATGTGCAACCACACTCACCTGAGATAATTTACATTTTTATACTGAGTCCTTTAAAATCCCATGGCATTTTACATTTGCAGGCTCTCTCTTTGGACCAGGCCCCTTGCAAGTGCCCAGCAGCCACACTTGCTTAGTACGATCACACAGCCTGACACAGCTCTAAAGCAATACACCACTAATTGCCATCCATAGCCCATGAACCTTCACAGGCTCTTTGACTATAACTATATTTCCATGAAATTGGCTTCCTTTATAAACCTAAATATTTTGTTTTATGGATTTTTGAAAAAAATTATTTTTGTATATCCTTTTATTGGTACATTTTAGGTGTTGAAAAACATTCAGAAAAGAATCCCATGTCTCTTTGCACCACCAAAGGGGTTCACAGCACAAAGATAAAGAAGCAGTGGGAGGGGGGACACATATTGTTGTAGGAGTTGGAGTTGTCCCTAAGCACCAAAAAGGTGAGTTTAGAAAAGATCTCAAGGTACAACAGAAACCAGGGAAGGTTTTAGCACCATGGGAATTGGGTTAATTGAAGACTTAAAAGCCCAGATCCCAGGTTTCTGTTTTGATCCTAGCATTCCTAGCTGAGAGATTTGGGACAAACTATCTCCCTACCTATGTTTCAATTTCCTCATCTATAAATGGGGCTTAAAATGGTGGCTGACCTTGAAGGTTACTTTCTGGACTCAATGAGTTTATCTTTGAAGTGCTAGCACAGTATGCGGATTACAGGAAGTAACCAATAAATGTTGATAATGCTAGGAAAATCAGGGTAACGTAATGACATAGAAGTGTGACTTGGGAGTGTTCCAAGAAAAAAATCCTTGCCATGATAGTCTATGTGTGGTACTTCAAAATGATGATCAGATGAAAGAAGTATTGCTGAAAAAATTTGGGCATTTTAACTAAAGCTTTTTTTCAAATCATTTGGTCAAAGTTTCCTAGGTCACTGGTCCTATTCCAGACAGATATGAAAGCTAACCAGCTAGAATTGCAGACATTTACATCTCCTTTAACTGTGCACTCCTCTCCCGCAGTGACAGAGGAGCTGGAATGAGAAGGTGATGCCCTTTGAAATGGTATGGTCTAATACAGTGATGGTGAACCTTTCAGAGACCAAGTGCCCAAATTGCAGGGCAAAACACACTTATTTACTGCAAATGCCAACACTGCAAATAAACCTGAATACTGAGGTATTAGTTTAGAAAAACAACTGTTATCCAACGCTCCGCTGCTGGGGCAACTCGAGCGCTGACAGAGGGTGCTACATGCCAGCTGTAGCACCTGTGCCATAGGTTTGCCACCACTGAATATCATTAACTAGTAACCAGGGCCAATCCAGTCAGAACCTCATTCTAAAATTGAGTTTTGGTTTGTTTTTTTGGTTCCGGGGATCGAACTCGGGTCCTTGTGCTTGCGCAGCAGGCGGCGAAACCGCTGAGCTAAATCCCCGGCTAAGATTGAGTTTTGAATATTGGCACCAGAAGATTATGCTGAAAATGCCTATCTTCAGACTAGACAAGTTCTAAGGAAAACATACTCACCTAGATTATAAAAGAAATAGGGGCTGGGGATTTAGCTCAGTGGTTCCGGCACCTGCCTCGCAAGCGCAAGGTCCCAAGTTTGATCCCCTTACCAATAAAAAACAGAAGAAGAAATGAATATCAAGATCTGGAGCCAGGTGTGCTGGCACACACTTGTAATCCCAGCATTTGGGAGGCTAAGCCAGGAAGATCACTGCAAATTTGAGGTTAGCCTGGACTAAATAGTAAGTTCAAGGCCACCCTAAACTACATAAAGAGATCCTGTCTCAAAAAAAAAAAAAGCCAGAAACATGGTTATTTGAGATAATCCATAATTATTGGATTATTAGATAAAATTATTGGATAGGGGCCAGGGATTTAGCTCAGTGGTTCCAGCGCCTGCCTCACAAGCGCAAGGATCAGAGTTTGAGCCTGGGTACCAAAAAAAAAAAAAAAATTATTGGATAAAACTGATTGCTTTTATTTATTTTGTTGTTATTTTCAGACAGTGTCTCGCTATGCAGTTCAGGCTGGCCTTGAATACACACATACATGTGTAGCCTAGGCTGGTCTTGAACTCAATAGGATCCTCTTGCCTCAGCCTCCTGAGTGCTGAGATTACAGACATGTACCACCACATCCGGCTCCAACTGCTTTTCATCACCTCACTACTTAGGTGCCAAGAATTGCTGCGTGAATGACCATTGAGAGTTGAAGCTAAAATTGAAAGCCAAAACTAAGAATCTGAAGTCATTCAGTACCCAACCCAAACCCCGAATTTGTAGAAAGATCCCACCCAGGCTGTGGCACAGGAGAAAGAGTCAAGCATTCTGACTGGCCCTACCATACCCTCAAGAATAGGTCTCTCCTTTGGGTTTGGCACATCTCTTGCAAGGTGCCCCCTACCTTCCTTCCTTGGCCCTTGTTTTTTGGCTCCCATTTATCTGGGATGACTTCATCCCCCAACTATGATATCTGAAACAAGCTTCTATTCTTCCATCCTGGAAAGCTGGAGCCCATGGTCCATCACAGCTCATCTGAGACCTTTCAAAGGTAGGACAAGGGGTGGGGGTGTAGCTCAGTGGTAGAGCACTTGCTTAGCACGCGCGAGGACCTGGGTTTGATCTTCGGTGCCCAAAACGAAAAAAGCTGGAGTTGATACAAGTAATAGCTATCGTCTTTGTACTTAGCAAAATAAATACCTACATGAAAAATGGCAGAAAAAGGAACCATGGGAAGGTATTTTTTTTTTTCTCTTTATCGCAGAACAGAGTGCAGGACTATAGTTTGTATCCTATAATATACTTTTTTCTTTTTTTTTCTTCTTTTTGTCTCCCAGCAGATGATGTAATTTGGAAAAGAAAAGACAGGCTCAGAGCTTAACAGAGACCCAGTGGGAAACACATAAGCCTCCCCCTGCAGCATAATGATGCACTAGCTGCAGTTTGGGGCTGCAGTACGAACTGCCTGTGCTGAGTGGACTGGATCGAGCAGTACAGGTCTCACCGTGCCTCCTGGCCTCCGCACAAGCTCCGTTCCATTATCCCTTCTTCCAATTACACTCCATTGATTCCATGTCCCTCACCCCGATCCATCCCTAAAATCTGCCTTCCGCTGACCCATCCTCAGATTCCCACTGCTCCCCAGCCAGCACTCGAGTTTGTGCCAGCCGCGCATTTTGGCAGAATATTTCATTGCCTATGGATTAGCAGCCCCCTCAGCGCTGCGTCCCCCCTTCCCCCTCCTGCTGCTGCTCCATTCACTCGGCCTCAGATCCCCTTCTCCCCCGCCTGTAGGGTAAAGAAAGGCTCCTCTGGGCGGCACAATGGCTGGTGCACGGAGGAAGCAAGTCTGCCGTTTCAGGGGCCGCACGTACTCCAGTGCCCTTTGGAACAGATACGACCAGGTCTCTGGAGTGCGGCGTGGGTCTGGGTTGTAGAGGGGCGAGGTGGGAAGGGAAGGCAGGAGGGAAGCGGAGCGGGTTGTGTAATAGAGCCCCGGGCCGGGAGACGGCGCGGCCCCCATCAGTCAACCGCTGCTCTCGCCCTTCCTCGGACCCGCTCTGTAGTAAAACAATCGCGCCCCACGCAGCGGCCACGACGGCCAGCAGCTCTGACACTGCAGGAACCCACGGTCCCGGGAACCGCTTTGCCGGCGGAGGTCAGCTTCTCAGGGACAAAGATGATTCTGGGGCGTGTGAGGCAATCAGCCCAGATAAGGGTCCTGGAAGGAGGAACCGGCCCATACTGCTCTACCACCATCCAGCGCCGTCCCCGGGCTCCCAAGACCCCATACTACGCCGCCTCCCTCTCCACACTTGCACACACTTATACACACGCACACGCGCGCGCGCGCGCCAAGCCCGACAGGGGGCCTATATTCTGGGACGATGCTCCAAGTGCCCATCATCCCACCTCTCCTGGCCCGGCACTGCGCCCCAGCTGCGCTACCAGAAGGGCTGGGCAGGAGGGCGACGGCCTTCGGGCTTCTCTCCCATCCCGGCACGGGCCGGGCTACAGCGCCCACAGCTCGTCCTGTCCAGAGTCCCAAGTCCGGGGCCTCCTTCCTCACCCCCCCCCACTGTCTCCTACTGGGTCCGCGCGTCCGGTCCAGGCTAAGGTGGCCCCCCCTCGACGGCACCTGTGCGGGTCCTGGCAGGAAGAGGCGGATCCCGGGGCTCAGCCGGACACCCCCATCCACAGGCCAGCAGCCAGAGCACAGCGCGGCAGCAGCGGCGAGCAGGGCCAGCCAGCCTGCAAGCGCCCTCCCCGCAGCTCCAGCGGCGCCCGCTCCGCGCCTCTACCGCCCTCCGCAAGCCCAGCCCGGCGTCCGCGCCCGCGCCCGCCAACCCCCCCCCCGCCTGGCACGCGCGAGGGCTCGGACGTCATCCTCGCGTGAACAGCCATGGCCTCCCTCCTAGCACGTGGGCCTGCTGCTATTAATATTTATGAATTACTGTTTCTCTGCTCTTTAGCATAGGCCCTTCCGCTTCCCTCATGAATATGCAGGAGCTCCGAGATGTGTGTGTGTGTGCCTTAACTACTAATATGGACACCTCACAGGACCTGGCAGCGCAGGCTCGGCAGGGAAAACCGAGGCAGAAGGAGCGTTGGCGGACACACTCAGAGACCCTCTGACCATTCTCCGGACTCGCCTTTCTACTGAACCTGAGGCTGAGTGGGAAAGACAGGAACTAACGTCTGGCACCCTAAACACGGTTCAGGCCTCAAGCCAAAGGTGAAGGGTGCCATGGAAATGCTTTATCACCAAAATGTGCAGGAGAGCTGGAAACGAGCTGAGAAATCGGAGAGCGGGAAGGCTTGAGGCCCAGGAAGATATGAGATAATGGAGAGATCAAGAGCTGTACATGTGCCAACTCCCCATGATGAATGTAATCATTGTGTACTGTGAACATGTAGTAGTAAGAATTTAAGAAGGAAAAAATTCAAAGGACAGAAAGGAGGCTCCTGGGGCTTTGTGAACACTAATATGACTTACTGGACAGAAGCCTGTGTTTATAGATGCTGTCAATAAGAAGACGTTTCATAACATGAACACAGACAACAGACAAAGAGGACAAGAAGGAAGGCACAGGAAAACGGTTGTCTCTTGGTGAATCCCAAGTATTTTTGTCTAATGACAAGGTATGGTACCTGTACGCTGAACTGGGGCCTCCGAGAGGGGCATGGGGCCTTTGCTTGTTCTTCTCTTTTTTTTGGTACTGGGGATCGAACTTGGCTCCTTGCGCTTATGCAGCAGGTCGCGAGGGCCTTTGCTTGTTCACACACACTTTCCCGAAACAGTTCTGTCCAGGGGATGTGAAACAGGGATGTTGTCCCTGAGATAAGAAGAGTTGGTCATGTTGCCTTTCTGTTAGAATTAACCAGAGAACTTCTTGGTAGAGAAAAGAAGGAGTAGATAGTTAAAAGATCCTTCCTGAGATCTTTCCCACTTCTGTGGCCTTGGGAGCCACATTTCCTCACCTGTAGCTCATTTTTTCACCTGCGTAAGGAGGATAACAGTGGCACCCACTCTGGGAGCCTGCTGTGAGACTGAAGGAGTTAAAATGTGTAAAGTATTTCCAGGCACATAAGAAGGCATTGTATAAATCTTGGCTAACTCTCCTCCTCAGCTGGAGGTGAGGGGACATTATATTAGAGGCCACTTTCGTCCAGATCTTCAGAGCATGGGACACAAGCTTGAGAGAGGCTTGTGAAGAAATGCTGCAAATGATACACAGCTTGGTCTCTGAGAAAACTCAGGTTCAAACCCCTGTGTTCTACTTTTCAGCTGGTCATCTTGTGCAAATTACTTACCCTTTCTGAGCATGGGTTGTCTTGTCTGTAAAATATGTATTCCAATATCTACTCCAAGGTTGTTATGCAGATTAAATAATATAATGCATGCAAATTGCTGACCATAGTGCCTGGCCTATCATTTGTTTGTATTCCATAAGTGAACTATGTTCCTCTTACTATTTTTGTGAGGACGTAAAAGAACTAGAAGCTGAGGACTGCTGGGCTAGGTACCTGGGAAGAGAATCCTCTGAACACAAACCAAGTAGTTCTTCCAGTAAACATTTGCTTTATTGCTATATAAATAATAATATTGCCCTACCACTCTCTCCCTCCAGTCCCTGGTAGCCACTATTCTACTTTCTGTCACTCTGGATTTGACTATTCTAAGTACCATATTTAAGTGGAATCATACAGTCCTTTTGAGACTGATTTATTTCACTTACATGCTTTCAAAAGTTCACACATGTAGTGTCAGAATTTCACTCCTTTTAGAGATTGATAAATATCCCACTGTGTGTGACCTATCTATAAATCTGTCTTACTTTCTCGTCTCTGAGACACAATACCTGACACCCACAACTCTAAGGAGGAAAAGTTTATTTTGGTTCACAGTTTGTAGAACACTCACTCCATAGCTGTCTCCAAGGCAGACCGGCATGACAGAGCAGCGTGGCAGAGGATGATTGTTCATAGCATGGCAGGCAAGAAGCAGAGAGGGAGAGAGACCAAAGGGAAAGGAAGGGAGGGATACCCTGCCAGGCCGCTCCCCCAGTGACCACCTCCTCCAGCCAGTTTAGCTATCAATTCATCAATGCACTAATCCACTGATAAGCATCAGCATCAATGATCCAATCACTTCCCCAAAACCTCACCTATGAATGCATACATGAGGCTTTGGGTGGCGGGTGGGTGTCATCTAGATGAAACCCGAACACTGTCTATACTGCATTGTCTTTATTCACTTATCTCTCAGTGGACATTTGAATTGTTTGCACTTTCTGGGTATTGTGAGTGATGCTGCTATAAACCTTGGTGTACAGAGCCCAGAAGATGTTGTTTGATCACATCCTACAATCCAGGCTAGAAGCTGGGAAGGTAAAAATGAAGAAATGCCTTCAAAAGGTACAGGGTTTAGTGTACTGATTCACAAACTCTGCTCAACTTGGAACTTGTAGTGGGTTGAATGTACCCCTCAAAATTCATCCCTAATCAGAATCTGAGGATGTGACCTTCACAGATAGAATTAATTAAAACGGAGTGGGCCCTTAATCCAATGATTGGTGTCACTTCCTGAGCAACAGAAAACCAATTTCCTCACTCTTTCAAATGAAAGTCTCAAAATATTTGAAGTTCCTCATTATAATTCCCTTATATCATCTTTTTTTTTTTCTTCTAAGTCAAACAGTCCCTCTTCCTCGTTGCTCATTTGTGTTGGGAGCAATGCTACATAATTCTAGGGAAAAATCATTTGAGTAGGCCTAGTTCTCCTGCCTACAGGCCAGCTATAACATTCCAGACATAATTGCATTTTGGCCTTGGGTCACAACTGAGACCTCAGTGATCCCGGATGCTGTAATGTTCCAGGACGAGACCACACCTGCGGGAGACACCATCATCAAGGAACCAAATCTTCATCTGCATAGTTCCTCATTGTTCTTAGATTTCCACTCCCCCCCAGTCTTTTGTTACACCTTGTTTATCCCAATGTGAAGTACTGAACTCTGCATTTCACTTGTTAACATTTGTTTCCTCATGTACTGAATAAAAGGTGCTGGAAGGTAGGGGGGTCTTTGTCTTTGCTGCCCAGAGCAGCACTGATCAGACCCAAAGCTCAGCTTCTTCTCAGTCTCATTTTTCTACCTTTCCTGTAATTCGCCGCGTGCTGCCGTGGCACCCAGGAGACTAGGACTTACTGCAGAGGTTCTGGTAACGTCCCCTTTCCCTGTTCCCTACACATTTGATGTGATTTTTGGACACTTTCAGGACTGTAGTTCTCCTTTGTTAATACTCTGCATTATTAATGCCCCTTATAAAAGGCAACACCTAGAAATAAAATTCTCAAAATAGAAGCTGACCAGTGCATAATAGAGAATATATTTCTCCCTTCACATAAAGAAATTACTCCTAACGCTCATTCTTCAAAGGGGCTTTTTTATTTATTCCCTTTTCAACCCACATAGCCCATATTTTGAAATATCTTCCTATTAAACTGTAGGGGGCCAGGGAGGCAATACTGGGAACTGAAATCAGGCCTTTTGCACTGAGGTGCATCTCCAGCCTTTTTCTTTTCTTTTTTTTTTTTTGGTCCGGGGATCGAACTCGGGTCCTTGCGCTTGCACAGCAGTCAACGAAACCACTGAGCTAAATCCCTGGCCCCTTTTTTCATTTCTTTAATTTTTTTTTCATTTCTTTAAATTTTGAGACAGTTTTCTAAGTTGCTGAGTTGCCCAGGCTGAGCTCAAACTTGCAATTCTCCTGCCTCAGCCTCCCAGAGTGATGGGATTATAGGCATGCACCACCACAACTGGTTTAAACTACATTTTTAAAAGAATAATATTTTTCACTAAGATGTAAATAATGTTAATACACTAAAGTGCATGTATTTCCAAGGAAAGCAAAGACCTCTATAGCCTCACTGCTAATTAAGATATTGTTAGGTATTTCAGAGCCCCCACAGAGCAAGCCCCCTCCTCTCCTTTCCCTTTGCCCCACTCTGGCCACTAGGAACAGGGAACTTCCTCATAGCTAAGGCCTGACCTCCCTTTATTAGTGACTTTCTGCCTAGTTAAGGCCTTTCTACCCCACTGGTTTCTCAGTCAGCTATTCCAGTGAGATAGGGGCTTCCCGAAAGCAGTTACTCCATCCCCCCCACTGAAACCTATTGCTACATACCCCAGCCCCAATCACCCACCCCCACCAATGGCCTAGTGCTCTCCCACCTGCAAGATCCCTATACAAGCTTCCAGCTCAGCCCATACAGTTGCTGGTCTCCATTCTGTGAGTCAGCCTGGCAGGCTGCAGACTGCCACCCCAATGAAGCTTGCTTGAACGTCCGTGTGTGGCCCCCTTCTTCGGCGACCCTTTCACATATCATTATTAATAATAATACTTATATTATTTATTATGAAATATTTATAGGTCTCCCCTGTTCCACATTAATTATTTACATCACAGAATGTCAGGCTGAGAATGACCGTAGGGAACCGGAAAGGGGAAGTTACCAGAACCCCTGCAGTGACTCCTGGTCTCCTGTGAGCCACTAAAACACAAAGCAAATTAAAGAATAAAGACAGAAAATGAGACTTAGAGAAAAAGCTGAGCTTTGGGCCTGATCAGTGTTGCATTGGGCAGCAAAGACAAAGGCACCCTGAGCTTGCTACTATTCATTGGATTCATAGGGAGTATTAGATGACTCAGGGCAGCAATAATCCTAAATTGACAAGGATCTTATAATTGGAGGAAGTATCAGATGACTCAGAGGGCGGTGGTAATACTATGACCATGAGGATCCTATGCTGATGAGAAT